CCTGCAGATAGAGTTATTAGTTGTTAATTTTCCAAATGAAAAATTGAAAACAAGAAATGTGTATGTAAACGTTAATACAGTATGTAAGTAATATGATGCATTAATGAATATATTAATATCAATAAGGACATAAAGATGCATAAAAAGTGTACATTTAAATATCAGAGCATGAATAGATTATAAGAATCGAGATGTAAATATGAGTATAACTTTTTGTAAAATGAATATCAGTTATGCAGAAATCCATATCGAAAGAATCTGAATCAAGTTTGGTTAACTAAGGCCTAAACCAGTGTATCAAATGGCTACTTATATTAACGATTTTCATTAGAAGCCATAATATCTCAGATGGCAATTATATTCAGGTTTCATATGCAAAATTTCCGTTTTCAGAATGTAACTTTTTTACGAAAGATAATTAATAGTCAAAAGAATAGTAGAAAAAAGAATTATAGGATATTTTCCACTGACAAGGAAGATAGATATGAACGAAAAGAGAGAAAGAGAGAGAGAGAGAAACAGACAGACATAGAAAACAATAATACGACATTTAAATGTTTTCATATCTACATATTTATTAATATACTATAAAATTTATTAAACAGTGATAAGAGGAGAAAAACAACCTTTTCTCTTGTTCTATTTTTAATAGATAAATATTTCAAAAAGTCTAAGGTGACTAATTTCAATATTTCGATACCTTCGATGTTTACTACTGAATTCCATTATATTAATAATTGGTCTAATTATTGTATTTTTACATAAATTATTGATAACTAAAAGATTATAACAGCATTTTTTCTATCTTATATAACATTTTTTCATTAACAAGTAATTAATTCAATAATAAAATGCTATTTTTCTGTTTAAATTATGTCAAAGACTATAAGCATTGAGATGGCGTCACTTTCGGGCGTTTTTCTTTCTAATGTGAATTTTTTATTTAAATATGATTGCAAACAACAAAATTATCAGATCTGAATCCAACCGAGAAAAATAATAAAGAGAATACCATATAACTTTTAATTAAACGTCGTAAAGCTTAGAGCTTGCTATTATATATTTTATCCGCTTCCATTAAATCGTTATCAAATTATGAAAACTACCATTCAAAACGTGGTATCACTTTCGATTGTTCTCATTACTTTTAATACCATTTTATTTGTCTTTTATTGAAATTTTTCGTCGTCCCTGGACAGTAAAACTAGTGAGATAAATAATCCGTATTTTATTCTCTACCGATATCTTTTTTTATATATAGAGAATATAAAAAAAAAACCATTTCAACGGTCACTTTGACAGCTTGACCTAAGTTGTGATTAAACGTCTAAAGCATTTGGTATTACCCTGGCTATTCATAGGGATTAACCCCGATATAAACCTTAACAGAAAAACGCCCACTACTTCACCTTTCGCCTCTTTCCCTTTTTAAAGGTTTCTCCTTGTTTTCTTTGTTAAACGACATTTATGAATAAAATGAATAGGTAAGCGCAAAGGTAAAAAAAGGTAAAAACAACGAAGATGGAGTCCATGTTGTGAAAATGGAAGGAAATTAGAGAGAATATATAATATGTGCAATATATACATTTTGTACATATGTATATACACACACTTATATACATAAACTTAGATATTTAAACAAATTTAAGATATATCTGTTAATGTTTAGAGCAAAAAGCGAACAAAAAAAATATGGATAAAAAAACTGGAGTGAGGAAAACAGTTTTACTTTAAAGTTTAACAATTGACGGTTACGAAAGGTGTGCAAAGGTTGGCATCTGTTGTATTGGCTATTGATTATGCCAGCATAGTCTGTATTGTTTATCTCTTCTGGATAACTAAACCATTGTTACTTTTTACTAGTCATCAGCCTATTAAAAACACTTTAAGAAGGGAAAATCTTACTCAACTAACCGTTTAATTGTTAAGTTCTTCTTGGCTGCAGATGTTTTTAGTTGCTAACTAGCTCCGTCTATCGGTAAAATATATTTGTCAACCGGCAGTTTGTCACCCACCTTAGGCCTATTTGCAGCAGGTGTTTAAAGTAGTAGGGCATTTAAGTTTTTCGTTGAAAAAAAAAACGGACGTGAATAGTTTTATGAACACGCTGAATGATTTAATAGTGAGTCTACGGAGAACTATGGGATATATTTGAATTTTAAAAGCATGCTGTTCGTGAGATGAAACATTAATACATCGATAACTAATTTGGCGAAATAAAGGGAATTTGTCGGGAGTATGTTAAAAAATTGCGAAGATTTATACTAAGAGTGAAGAAGTGATTACATAGTATTTACTAGTTAAAAATGTGTTGTCGAAGCGACGGTTCTAGGTTCTCTCTCCTATGCCGTTGGACTACTAGACTCGTTCGAGCTAGTTATGGATACATATTTGAAAAAGGTTAGTCAACAAGTATTAACTGTGTACATTGTTACCTATATAATTAATAATGCTATTAGTATTATTTACCTTTCGCTGATTTCCCACTATTTATTAAAAATATTCAATTCAAGTAACAAAAGAGATTTAAAAGAACTTTTATACATTAAAAATGAAGTTTAATACTTGATATAGTGTGAAAAGAAATTATTAGAATCAATAATATCCTCTTAGGTTGCGAAGTTAGATACGTAGTTTATATCACTTGTTATATTTTAATTTATTAACTATTAATAGATGTTAAGATCTAATCTGTATAAACTATACTCACATATTCTCATTTATAGTTAATTAATGCATTAAATAATGCAAATGAGCTTATTTTTTTACGGGAAAAAGATCTAGTAAAATATTCACGTTTTATCGACTTAATGTTTTGTTACATTTGTGAAGATCTAGACAGTATATTTAATTCATTTAATTACGCAATGTATTTAAAATTTCTTTCTCTATAATTTAACTATTTTTACTTATGAATTGTTAGATAAGAATGAATAGAAATCTTCTATTTAACGATCATAATAATAATAATAGGCGGGGGCAACAAACTAGGTGAATTCATTTGTCTTTAGAATTAAAGACAAAGACAAAGGGTGACTAAGAAAGAAAGAGTGTGTGAGAGAAAATTGAAAAGGGACAGGAAAGAGCGAGTGAAAAAAAAGAGAAAAGCCAGAGATACAAGTACTAAATATATATTGTTGTTTGTGTTTTTTTCTAATAATCAGTCCTAAGTAACAAAAACTGATGAGTAATTTTCCTTTTCGATGTTTTTTTTTTCATTTTCGGCGTCCGTCTAAATATCTTATAAATTATTAGGAAAAGAGAACTAATTGTAGACCAATTGAAGGAAAGATTGCAGAATGAATTCTCTTTTTAAATCTACAATAAATTAAATTTTATGATGATACCAATATAATTAAAATTATTGCTCTCTTTGTATCAATTTCATACAATTATATATTTTGAAACAATACAAAATACATGATTTATGTATGTATAAATAGCCATTTATTCGCCAAATGTTCACATAGTTAGCTTGTGTATAGCATATTAGTGTGTAAGTGAAAGGTAAACAAACTGTTTATTATTCATGTTATGGCTAGCAAGTAAACAGATTGATTATATAGTTTACATAAAACTCCCTTACATCCCTCTATAAAGATAAATGCCCTCCTATCACTAATTATACTGAGAAATGCCTTTGTCACAACATTTTCCTAGTGAAAGCCCTCACCATTAAGCAAAAAATTTTCTTCATCTTGTCAATTTCATTCGCAACTGGCGTCAAGAGCTCATATTCAGGAAACGGCCTTTTATAAAAGGCGGATATTTTCCATATTTTCGATAGAAAAGTTCACCTGTCCCAAAACCGATGGTTAATTTCCCCAGGAAAACAAATTTTGCCTTATATATTTGAAGTTAGGAGGGTGGGTATATATACACTATATGTATATATAAATTTCAATGAAAATCAAAAATGAAAGTATGAATGAGTAAGTCGGTGAGTTGGTAAACAAAAGAAACGAATGAGACATGAAAAAGAATAGGTGTGGGATGAGAAGAAAAGAAAATATAGGGGGAAAAATCAGAAAACACATATTTCTATAGGCGATTGATTGCTTGTGTATTTTTACTACAAAGTCGTGACTAGAAAGAACAATGATGGATGAAGTGGTAACGGACAAGTTAGAACGTTATTGTATTAATTGCTTAGGAATTATGTGTTTTTAGATGTTATTTTACAATATGATCAGTTATATCTATGATGTTAGAAATATGCAAAAAGAAGCCCCTGAATATTTTGTTCGTTTAGTTACTGATGCAACGATAGTACTGCTGAAAGGGAAGGAAGATGGGCAGGTTGTCTACTTTCCGGTACAAGTGAAAAAAATTAAGCAATATGTACACCAGAAAAAAAATCTATTTTCTTATGCTCTTTCAGCCGTCCTCGACGTCAGAGCTAAATGAAAAGTCATATTGTTAGATGACGTCATCGCCGAGTTTGTTACTTCTTTTTCTAATGTTCTTAGAGAAAATTCTTTCTTAACTGAGACATATAAAAATCTTATTACGAAAGATTTTTAACATTATTTAGCCATAATAGACAAAATTTCAACATAAGAAGATGATTGAGTTTTTTCTTTTTTGCATTTGTTCCAACAAGAAAAAGTGAATTCTGCTTCGAGTGCCTAGACTAATTTACTACAGCAGACAAAATTCAATAAGAATTGCACCCGGCATTTGTACTCTTGCTTCCAGTTTCTCTTAATTGTCATTTTCGGTACGGATAATTTTTTATAGTTGTAATCAAAAGATCTTAAGTCTAGACGTTGGGAAAATGATTATAAAAATATATATATATTTCTTTTGATATATTCACTCCCTTTTTTCCTTTAATGTTTTAATAAATTGCTATTAAAATAGCAATAGATTAAAAATTACAAACTCTGATCGCCATGTATTGATAATATGCAAAATCTCTCGATTAGTAGATTTATATTGAGATAAATACTTACACATGCTGTTATTATCTTATTGTATTTCAAATACTGCATATTTGATATTATAGCATATAGTTGTTCTTTTCGTATTTAATTATAAAGTTATAAAGGCTCATTAGAAAACAAAATAAGCGCCAAACTAGACAGTGAACAGCTTTTTCCTGTTTATTTGCTAATTAAACAAGCGGAAGGGTTAAATTAGGTCTTTAATTTTGTCAACATTTCATTCAAACGTTATGCGGTCTTAAATTCTTATAAAGAGCACAATTTACAGTCGGTTACGGTAGCTGAAACACCAGCATAACGCATTTTACATACAACCGCATTGTTTGCGTAGCTTAACTCAGCAATCTTCCGTTCCGGGTTGACTTGCATGCGGAAGATATAATCGCCTGGTTCCACCTCGGTCATGTCGATCCACTGGCAGTCGATTTCGTGGGTGTATATATCCGAACAACCAACCGATATTCCTAGAAAAAGTGAAAACGAAGAGTTTAACTCTCTAGTAGAACCAAAATATACCTAATATTCCGCCCAAAATACTTTATTAGTAAACAAATTACACACGTTTCCTGCCCTTGTACAAATGTTCAAGACATCTTTTGTCTATTATTATAGAAGAAGAAGTATCTGCTTTATTTTCTAAAATGTTTCCTTTGGTATTATAATTAACCTTGCATGAAAGATGCTCTACGTGGATGAAATAACACAGTTTCTCTTACTAACAATTTTTTTGTCTAGACTTTAAATAAAAGTACAAGCGAAATATTTCGCGCTGAAGACATTCCGCTGAATATATGAATTTTTCAAACCTGACACCCCTAGTAAACGTTTTCCTATACCCTCCCCTCTATACCACCTAATGTTGAATCCTTTTTATCCATTCATTTTCTCACCATCTTCTTATAACACGTTTCTATTTAAATTTCTATATGTGTCTGCTTAGAAACCTCTTACCTAAAAATAAGTTTAGAGAATGTTTAGGTACTCGGTCACGAACAGAATCTTTTTATTTAAACGTTCTAGAATGTTATATCGAAAGATCTAGCTATTTAGAGAAGTAACATTAAAAGAATAATACAAAATATATACACACAGAATAAGGGAATTTTCCTCAATCTATTGCCAAAATGCCTTAAAATAGGATTTTCTTCTCCAAGATAAAAATTCGTTTGGTGATTGTCTCACTCACTCACTCACTCACTCTGTCTCTCTCTCTTTCTGTCTTCCTCTTTCTGTTCATTTTATAAATTTCCTTTTATATATTATAAACTTTTCTAAAAGATAAACCCTTTTTTCTATAACTCTCATTTACTGTTTCAATTATTTTTACTTCTTTTTTGATAAAGAAAGATATATCGGATAGAATAGACGCTATATTTTTTTTTATCTTCTTTAGGAACTTGTTCTATTGTAAAATTCTATTTTTGGCTTTTTTAATTGACAGATTTTATTATATGGTATACTTTAAAAAATTTGTGAAACGGGAATTAAAAACATGCCTTGATTAGACGAGAGGAAGGGTTAAAAGTGTCTATAACGTTTTCAAGCATATTTTAGTCGCGTCTTTTTGTTTTTCGTGCAAGGAATTAGATTAAAAATCTCAGCTAATTATACAAGCTTCAAGGTTATCGAATGTACGGATGTAATTGACGGAATGTATAAAAAGTAAGGAAATATGAAGTAACACCTAAGGTCTAGGAGAAACTTTCACAAATCTCGTGAATTCTGGTTACTATCAATATCCTAAATTTCTATAGCATAAATTACAAAATAATAACAAAATTAATCAACGGGAATAGAAAAAACGAAGTATTGATAGCATTCTTTTCAATAGACTTAATAATATAGGAATAAAAACGAAGGATATCCCATGTTATATAGTGTTTTATTTCCCTCTTAACTGAAATTCTACTTGAAGGGAAGAACTGCAAAGTCGAAAAAAAAATATACAAAAGCGTTAAAGCCCCCTAGTGAATTTTTTTAAATAGATACGCACCGGTGATTGCTAATTTAGAAGAAAAGAGGAAATATCGGTAAAAGTAAGAGAGAAAAGACAAGATTACAAATTAAAAGTCCAGAATTGTGTCTATACTAAAAACTTGCTGACAGATAGAGGGAGAGGAGAAGTGAGAGAGACAGAGTCAACCAAAAATCATTCTTAATGCATTAGGCGTCGAGTAAGATAGATTGAAGGATAATTATGAATAAAGAAATAGAAACAACAAACCTTGTTGTGAATAACCCTGACAGATATAACGTTTTGCTATTCCGCTATCGCATTGGACGTCCTCCAAGCAGAAGCTAGCTTTGTGACCCTCGGCAACTCTCTTCCCATTTTTGTCAAATAAATCATAGTGAGCGAACACTTCCATACTGTGAAAGTGCATATGGCACGAATGCCACTCCCAATCGTCCATATGCAGAAAAGGATGAAAATCCGCAGTTCCGACGTTTTTGGTTGCACTGGAGAAACGAAGTAAACGCCTCCGGTATATTTGCCAATCTGTTTTATTAGGTCTAAATCTATATTGGAAATCCATAGGCTGAAAATAGAAATAATTCTCCGACTACCGTTTCCTATTAACTTGTATTCATGCCTTTGAAAATTTTCAATATTGTCAATAGCTAATCTTTGTTCTTATGTTAGAGCTACTTAAAAATAATTAAAGAGCAAACCCCTATAAGTTCTTTGAATGTGAAAGGCTGTCGAAGATGCACAGCCTTCCTCCATAGCGCATTGCATTAGAAACATGGGTCTATCTTGCAAATAAATTGTCTCCTCTAGAAGGGTTACGTTAGGTTGTAAATCAGGTAACCCTGTCGATTGCAGATATTGAGAGTTATGGTACCTATTTGGAGAAAGTGGAACCTACTTTCCGTACACAATACTCCCGCAATTAAGTTGCTGTCCCTGCAACTAACTTCTTTACCAACGTTTTCATGGTGGCATTCAGCTAAGTTTGATTCTTCCCCAGTGCAGTGTAGACCTGATATTATCTTGGAGACGTTATTTCCCCCAAAGTAAGGTGCCTGTTAAGCAATTTCAATTATTATTCCTAGAGCCATGTTTAATTACAGGTGTCAAAAATTTGGGTCAACTGTCTGTACCATATAGGTTGTCCTTTATAATATAATTAAGTTGCATACTTTCAGTGGCATATTGACTTAATATCTTTATGCAACAGACGTCTTACATAATTCCTTTATTTAACCTGATAAATTAAGAAAATACTCTCAAAATTAGGATAAACTATAGGGACGAAAACAAAATCTGGAAAGAAAACAAAGCACGACCCTGGTCGCTTTTTCTGCTTGATGGGCCTATATCAAAATTATAGTAGCTACTTTCCTAACTGCCTTTGGCACTTTGAAGCGGAACCGAAAGCAGAAATCAATTTGACCCTGGTGCGTCATGAATCTTCTTGATAGGCCTAATTCAGAGCTTTAGCCATATTATTTTAAATCGAAGAAGTTTGAACCTTGCTAGTTATTGAAACAGGAGAAATATTATAGCTCGATGAGAGATTGTAATTTACCTAATTCATTACAATTAAGGTTTAATTTTGATAAATAGTTTAATGAGCTCTTGATATATACCGTTGTATGAGATCTGGCATATTTCAGACCTAATTGTCGGCAAGCAACCATTGCTTCCATTAATGTCCACGTATCGGCACAGATTGTACCCCAAGAATAACCAGTATTGACCTCAATGCGGCCCTCGGTTGGATTTCGTCCCCCTTTCATTCTAATAGCATATTCCTTAAAAGTTTTAGCAGATTTCTTTAATGCAAAATCGTTCTGACGTCCGCAATAAACGCCGGCTACTTCCTTTTGATCGCAATTATGCAAACCCCACGCAGATAGGTGACAATCCTCTAGCGATGCTTCACTTCCGTTACATCTTACGTTGTCTAACCAAATTCTATTATCTATAGTTATATTATTGAGAAAAGAGTTAATAGAGAATATATTAGTATACAATTAAAAAATTATGAGTAACTTGATAAATGGCCAAATTTGCTGTTGACAGTTATGGCAATACATTTTCCAAAACCGAGCATTCTGCATATGACGTCACCGTTATTCTTGCTCCAGCCATCATCACATATGCCACCCCAGGCAGAATGAGCTCCTCTCCGAATTATTATATTACCGGACGTTTTGCTACCTCCTAAAAGTTTAACTTGTATTGAACCAGTGGGCTCTTTTCCTAGATACCTGCTATTTAAGCTGCGTTGTAATTCAAAAGCAGTTGAGTAGATGAATACAGAAACTAAGATATAGATAGAAAACATAATATACAGTCTAGTACGAATGCTTTCAATATGCTTTCCGACTGGAGCACATATATATTTTAACAGATCAACTAAAATCTGAACATGTATATGCTGAATATATATATATATATATATATATATATATAGTGAGAGAGAGAGAGAGACTATCGTCTTCACGTTTGTTTATATGACATTGAGAGTAGGTTTACAACGAGAATGGAAGTAATATTTTCCATAGAAAACTATACAATTTTTAGTTAATAAACCATCCTTCATTTTTAATGATATCAAGTTAAAAATTGTCAAATTACATACTTTTATTAACAATTATATATTTACGTTTCTCTCTCTCTACGTGGAGCCTATGAACAAAATTTACGTGACTTGTAGAACGTAAGGAATGCATCTGCAGTTTTTCATCTGGCCCACCCATGTATAAATCTTGAGCTATAAGCCGTTGAGCAAGTGACAAATAACTAGTGACATGATTAAATAATTAGCTTAGCTAAAGGAAAATTTATTGAAATTTTATATGGCAGGCGAATATAGAAAGTGTCAGCAGTAAAATTTATTCTATCTAATAATTCAAAGCGAATAAATAGTTTGTTTTAATTATCATAATTAAATAAAAATTGCGTTATGAAATCTTACTAAAAGACTGTTTAAATTATTAATATAATGATTTAAATTGATAATTTAACGTTTAAGCAAGAATGATAGTTATAGATATTTAACTAAGAAGCAACTTTATTTTTCTCTCTGATCTTTCGTTTTGTCCTTGGGCGTAAATGATTGTTTTCGGAAAGCTCTATGGGCCTGGTATACTTTGAGATTAGGTCTTAGCTCTCCGGATAAACTTTTAGATATTCATTGTATTTAGAATAGTAACGAAAGTGGGTTAGGTGAGAAACGAAGCTCCAAGGCGAAATACTACCCATGGGATTAGCCATGTTTACCGAGAGGGTTGATAAATCCAGTGTCATTTCTTTTTGCCCTTTACTTTGTCCCCGGATGAGCATATTTCAACGTGTTAAAGTTGATTAAAGTAAAAGTCAGTTTTGTTATGCTGTAAGCCTAATTTACAGTCCTTTAACTTATTAATTCTTCACTAGATTTTATTACAACATAAAAAAACAGTAGGTGGCTAAAAGACATATACAAAAGCGACCTCTACATCCTTAAAACTACAATCAAAATGTTAGTATTTCGTCTAAGCGTCCCTCTCTCTCTAAAATGGCATAGGGGCGTAACGAACTAAAGGACAGGAATAATAAAAACTAAAATCACTCAGTATAGTATTTGCTCGTTTCACTTTACAATTTTTGTAACATTCTTGTCGACGTAATCAAAGAGATAGTTGACGAGCAAATTCTTTCACTCTGATACGCCATCTATTGATCAAACAAAAATCCAATTCCGAGAGAAGAAAGTCAAAGGCAGAGAAAACTACTTAAAATCGTATAACAGCAGTAATGCGTAGGAGGCGTAAGTGTATATGACGAACGGATTAGCGTAATTGAATAATGAGAAATAGGTTATCGGGAAAAATTTCCCGCAATTAGGCAAATGAGTACAAAACCAAAAAACTATTAAATTTTTCTGGCGGTAATTGTGCACTATTCGCTACTTGGTTGTCGTAATTTATTTTTAACATGAAAAATAGGAAAGATAAAGGGGTTGACTTAAAAGGAACCATTTTTTTATCGAAAGAAATCTCAGACTAATTGGCTAATAATCGTTTGAGGCAGGTGACATTTCCTACTCAAATCTCTTAGGGATGAGACTACTAATAACAGCTTTAGGCCGCTGGCTCCATTTGAAGATGTGAAAAAGGAAACGGATCCATTTTTCTAATCTTTCTGCTATCATCCACAACACGAATTTGAAGGCGATATTAATGCCAAGACAAAATGAAAAGAAGGACATTTCATTTTCCTAATCCGATATCTAAGCGGTTATTTTCTTTGAGTTTGTCCCTCATTAGTCCTACTCTCTGATGTTTATTCCATTAATCCAAAGTTTTTAGGGAAAGAATGAGCAAATTTTTGTAAAGGAATTTTCTATTTCTTCCTTTTTTATTCCTCTTTTTACCCGTTAATGCTTCAACGTAAGGATCCGAAATGGTTTTTAGGTTATTTACTAGCATTTCTAAGAAATGTTTTATTAGTTTTAGGTAAAATCCTTAGCCGGCAATCCTCAAGTGAATAATCTGTATGTGCGGCAAAAAGAATTTGCTAGCGAGGTATATATGTAGATGAATAATTAGAGCGATGACCTTTTAAGGAAGCTATAAAGTGTCTAAATTTATTTATCCTTCTTATTAAGATATTCACCTGAGAGATGTATTTTTTGAGGAAAGACGAATAAGTTACTTATAGATATTAATCTGCCTGTCTCTCTTTTTCCCCCAGATTTCTCCCTCTCTCTTTCTCTCTGTCTTGCTTTTTGTGTCCCCTGTGTCATTCTACCATACATATTCATTTAGATTCATGCTAATGTATTAAAGTGAACATATGGGAATGGAATATTGTAATTACTTATCAGCCACTAAAGAGAATTTCAAAATGAGCAACTAATAACTTGCACGAATTATTCCTTACTTTTATAATATTTTTTATGTAAGTAAATAAAATCTAGATGGTCTAACAATAAAAAATGAGCCGGTTTCCTTTGTGTCATTTGATTCTCTGCTTGCTTGATCATGATTTATGCCATCTACCGCCTGAAGGTCTAAATCATCAAAATTTCCCTCTCTATATGACAATTGTGATAGGTTCTTTTCATAACTCAACAGTATATCTAACTTCCCCTGTAATCTTTCAAAGAATTTACAGAGTTATTCATTTCCATGAATGAATTTTCCGAGTAAATTGTTGACCACTTCACGTTCATTTTTCATGATTGTGCATGATAGAATTACCCATTGAAGGAAGGTGCAATTTGAGTAAAACGTATGCAGATCGAAAAAACTTAGCGATTAGCGTTACTTAATTGGCAAAAAGTCTATTTACTAAAAGATAAAAATGTTTTCATTGAAAGTTTGAGGTCGAGTTCAAAGGGTGCAGACGCCTATATTCAGTTATCTTTAAATATAAAAAGATGAGCATGAGAGCATGAAGAAAACATCTCAGATAACACTGCCATCTAGTTTGAATATACTCCTTTCGCGACAGTAAAACGGCTTTCGTCAATATTCTGTTGACAATTTGCAGTCTCCAACTGAATAAATTGATCGGAAAGAAAAACTAGGGTCTGTTGCGCAGCTGCTTTATGAAATATTTTTCATTGCTTATTTTTTTATCTTCACTCTTCTCTGCTATCTTTTTTGAGGCAATCTTTTATATTCCAACACCCACTGTTTCTCTCCCTTCCGACAAGAAAGCAGTAAAAGCCTTTTAAACTCATTTACAAATGATAAATTCCTTGTTGCATTTGACAAGTTAAAATATTGAAAAGAGCGATGGTAAGGCTAAAATTTATAAAGCAAGATATATTCGGTGGGTACAATGACTGACAGGAGATGAGATTAAGCGTTACAGAATAGGATAAAAGAAGATGAAATGATAGTATGACGTATTCATCCGGTGCTTTCGTTGGTTCTCTGTCTAGTATTTTATGTGTTTAGTTTAAAACGTTTTTCTTCCTCATTAAATTTCGAATGAAAAAAAAAGAGTGACTCTCATTAAAAATCAGTGACAAACCTGCCTCGACTAGAGAAGGTCGACAAACAGCCATGGGGGAAACAGCTTCCTGTTGCATTTTTGTCTCTTCATGTACATTAATGTTCAGCCGTAACTTAGTTAATGTAACATTTCATAGTTTAATTTTTCATGATACAAAGCAAGCTTTTCTACATTTGCTACAAAAGACTATACAGATATAACACCTATAATCACATTATCTGAATTTCTGCTAGAGTATATTAATAAACTCTTATATGGAAAGTCTGTTAACGTAATTTTTAACTGTTATTCATCAATTTATTGGTAATATATTTTAATTAGCAAAAATCTTTTTATCCCTGTTAATCATTCTAAAAGAGAGTAGGGAAAATAGAGCGAAACGGGGAGAAAGAAACGTAATAGAGATCTTAATCATTAGTATATTGTAAAAATTCCTATTCTACATTAAAATAGAACTGTTAGGTTTATTTTTATATACATCCTGTTCAAAAATTAACCTAAAAGAAGTATACAAGTTTGATAATAGCAGTTTTGTAAAGGATATAAATAAATATATTCTCTTTTTAGACAAAAAAAAAAGGAATTTCACTCAGGAAAGAATTTTCAAAACAGTAGGTAGCTACACTATTATTAGCAACTTATTCTATTATGAATAATTTATAATTATCACTGCAAAAATCAATTCTAAAGGATTTTTATTCTTTATGGCTATATAGTTTAGACAAGTAGTTTTTTTTTAAGTTAAAGATTATACGCTTTAAAGTGAGTCGTAAATGGGTATGGATAAATATATATTTTTAGATTTATTTACTCTAAACATTGATGTATATATATATACGTGAATATTTGGAGTAAATATTTATAAATATCTCTATTTTTACAAATATTTTTTTTATTCGTGTTATTTATAATAAAAAAATCAATTAAATTGAAGAAGAAGAAGTAGAGGAAGAGGAGGAGATTCTGATAAATTGTAGATTCTTTTTACTGTATATTTTACTTTTTTTCCTTTCACTTTCCTTCATTCTTACATTGTTTTATATGACAATTCCCATATGTACGATCCGTCTCAGAATTAACTAGATCCATCTTTAAGGACCGCTATAAAGAAATCAATGATAAGTGGAACATAATGAATTATGCAACTTGTTTGAATGGCATTTTTTCCCCCTTGTTTTTCCTTCCGATGAGATATCTCAATCCGTTTTGTGCAATCATGCACTACGTAATCAAAGAATCCACGTACAATGATTACTAGATGGCTTTTAGCAGCATATGAATCTTCTTGTCAATATCTCATAATACGATCCGCTAAATCTGCCCAAGGTGCCAATAACAGGGAAAATCTCTTTTTATAACAAGACGCTCTTTCATTAGGCGTTACTTCAGCCTACGTTGTAATATTTTTTTGGCTTC